CTAAAAGTATCTAACGGAATAAACAAACAAGGTATTAACATTTCACTTAAGAAAAATAATTGTTATCTGTTTGAATAATCTATATAAATCAAACGGGAATAAATTTCAAAAGTATCTAACAGAATAAACAAACGAGATTCACGTTTTACTTAAGAAAAAACAATCGTTACTTTTTCAAAAATTTCACGTAAATCATACGGAAAATTATTATATACATTAAAAGTTGGGCTGCCTGTATGTGGCATCCTATACTATAGTCGCTCAACTATAATCACCATGTACTATTGACTTCTACCCAATTCACCCTATACTAATTAAAAACTTCCCAATTCGACCTAAGCTTTTAATTTCTACTTATTTCATTAAATTCAATCAACCCAGTTAATTGCTAAGTTTTTCCCAATTCGATTTGGGCTTTAAAACAAAAATCAAAAACCTCTTACTCAAAAAGAAGGTTTCAATTCGGGTTATAAGATTCAATTCGGGTTATGATTTTTAAACTCGATTTAGTATAATCGCGGTACAGTAATCACGATTTTATAATTTTAATGGGTTGATTGAATTTAATGAAATAAGTAAAAATTAAAAGCTTAGGTCGAATTGAGAAGTTTTTAATTAGTATAGGGTGAATTGGGTAGAGGTCAATAGTACAGGGTGATTCTAGTTGATCGACTATAGTATAGGATGCCACCTATAGGCAGCCCTTAAAAGTTTCTAACGAAATAAACGAACGAGATGTTAATGCTTCACTTTAGAAAAACAATTGTTACTTTTTAAAATAATATTACATAAATCAAAGAAGAAATTATTTTCTATTTTAAAAGTATCTAACGGAGTAAACAAACGAGATTCACGATTTACTTAAGAAAAAATCAATCGTTGAAAGAACAATTGTGAATAGGAAAATAATTAGATATTGGGAAAATTCTCAAAAAAACCCCAACTATTTATTATTTGCTAGAAAAAACCTGAACTTTTTTCGTTGTCGGAAAAAAACCTAATCTAATTTAACGCTGATAAAACAAACACGAACTATTTTTTTTTTCTAATTTCTTCTCGTCTCTGTTACAACCGTTACCACCGTCGTTGAATCCGTTACTATTTTTCGAAAAATTCCTTAAAAAACGTAAGTTATTTAATTTTGCCACAAAAATACCATAAATATTTTTTTGTTGCTAGAAAAATACACAGATCAACATTTTTCTACTCCTTTTTTTATTTCATTAACAATGTAAGGTGGTTAGACCTCATAATCTTATGTGTTCTTTTGAACCTCATACAAGTTCTCACTACTATTAGATTAGTCGATTTTTCAATTTTCCAATTAGAACAAAACTCACAATTACATTAATTAGTTGATTCTCCAATTTCCTAACTAGACCAAAAAACACAATTAGATTAGTCATTTTTTTTAGCGTTGAGTTGATTTGATTAAGCTAGCTTTAGCTTCAATTTTGGTGGATTTTGCTTGATTTGAGTATTTTTTTTCGATTTATGTTAGAGAATTTTTAAAGATCTACTAAGGTTTTTGGAGTTCTTATGAAATTTAGAGTTCCATTGTTGATGATGTCCCAAAATTTGTAAAGTCTAAATAGATCAAAAAAACAAATCTAATTGAGAAATTTGAAAATCGACTAATCTAATTGTATATTTTTGTTCTTAAATTTAATTGTCCTAAATAATAGTGAAAACTGAAAACTTGTCAGTTGTATGAGGTTCAAGAGAACACATAAAATTATTAGCTTTCATCACCTTACATTGTTGATGGAAGACAAAAAGAGAAGAAAAATATTGATATGTGTATTTTTTTAGCAACGAACAAATAATTCGGGTTGTTTTCTGGCAAAATTAAATAACTTAGGTTTTTTTCAAGAATATTCCCAAAAAATAGTAACGACGTCGACGACTGCGTTAACATCCGTAACGGAGACGAGAGAAAATTGGAAAAAAAAAAGTTCGTGTTTGTCAGCAGTAAATTAGTTTGGATTTTTTTCCGGCAACGAAAAAAGTTTAGGTTTTTTTCTAACAAATATTAAATAGTTGGGGTTTTTTTTGGGAATTTTCCCTTTAGATATTTAAAAAATAACTGATACAAAAAATATATAGGAAATTAGATATGTCAATTAATTATGAATCGCATCTAAGTTTAGCTATTGTTGTTTTTAAAAGTTACATTTTTTCTAACGTCTATTACATCATTATTAGATATATTTGATTTAATCCTAATATGATGATATTAAATTACATGCAGTATATTCATGTATGTTATTCAACTACCTGGAGATTAGAGGTATCTTTATATCAAGGTAATGTGCTTTTCAATTTTAGTGCTCTTTAACTTAGCTACACACACTAACTAATATATTTAAATATGTATATAAGGGAAAAATCAAATTTTCTTTTTTAGTTTAAGTATATAAAGGCATAGTCGCTTGAAATTGAAGATATCAAAGTTAAAATTGGATTATTATAGACTTTTAAAACTAAAAAATTGAAAATTGAAATATATATGTTGACACATGTAAAATTCTTATATCTATTTTTACAGATATTACAATTTACTGACTATTCCATCCATATATTAAACATAAATTTTTTGTTTTTTTTTTTAACGTCTGGATTTATTATTTATTGCAAATTATGAGAACTGTTACATAGACGATTCTACAACGGACAATTCCTTCCGACCCTTATTAGATCCACGACAGACGACACCTTCCTCACCTTCTTCTTCATACTCACCTCCTTCACCTCCTTCTTTATGCTCTTGATGGACACTTCCCTCTCTGCGGAGAATCTTGGCGAACGGCTATAATTGTACATCGCTGGAGATCTCCAGCACACTTGCCTCCAATAATCTGCAAATTTATTAATAAATCGCAGTATTTGGGACTCGAACCCCAGACCTCTGGGTGTAGAATCATTAATTAACCTTTGTTTAACCAATGGGCCAAGGGGACTTCCACAGGAAAGCTTTATTTGCACCGTACTTCTTCCACATGTTACACTCTTTTTATAACTCTTACAAAGTAGCTTCCAAAATCCCAAAGTCGAAGATCATCGTTCTAGCTTTTAGAAAGTGTGGATTGGCTGGCCCTCAGAAAATACTATCTTCAAATAAAATTGCAAGTGAGATTTAGAATAAACCATATTATTTAAAGTTTGATCTGACATAAAGCAGAAAACTTATTAACAATTAAAACATTTGTTAGCTAATCGATTAGATTTCAATATGCGTTAAAAATATTTTTTCGCACCACAAACTTTTGAAAGAGATAAAATTTTACCTCTTGTCAAAAATATTCTTTTTTTTGGTAGGCGTTGTCAAAAATATTCTTATAAACAACAAATTTTTGTTTTATATGGATAGAATAGTCAATAAATTGTGACATACGTTAGAAAACATATAAGAATTTTACATGTATCAACATATATATTTCAGTTTCTAGTTTTAAAGTCCATAATGATCCAATTTTAACTTTGTTATCTTCAAATCCAAGCGACTATGACTTTATTTACTTTTTTTATTTTTTAACATCTGGATTTATTATTTATTGCAAATTATGAGAACTGTTACATAGACGATTCTACAACGGACAATTCCTTCCGACCCTTATTAGATCCACGACAGACGACATCTTTTTCACCTTCTTCTTCATACTCACCTCCTTCA